CTTACAGATTTTCCCCTATCTCATTTAAAAATCTTATTTCTGCACATATGATAAATAAATCCATAAAATGGCAGCCCTAAGCTCTGTTGTTTAAAGGTAAACATCATATTCTTAATTTTCATTACAGAATAACCATTACTCAATAAAACCTTTCAAGCATGTTCTCTTTCAGTTCAATGTTTAAATGCTTTAATTAAACTGTGTTAGTTACCTTATTTTCAAAATAAGGCAGCAAGCTGGAAACTTTCAGCAAACACTTTATTAGCGTTAGGGATAGGGTAAGGAGGATCAGACATTTTTTTTAATATTCACAGCTAACATTTTTTTAAGGCAAAAACAAATACAGCTACATACATATATACAAAAACTTTACTGTATACACATATATAGACTTATAACAGGTTTTAACACAACAAAAAACTCGACTTTAGCAACAATTTTTTTGTATGCCTCAATTTAGCAGGCATAAAAATGTACAGACATATGAGTTTTTTTTTTTTTAAGAAAGCTGCCGTTTGTGCTAAACATCTTATTCAAAAATGTTGGAGGAAAGATTTGAGCCTTTACCATATTCTTTAATAGGTAGTCCCAAACTGCTGAATATTCCCATCCATTGCCTTCCTCTATATGTAGTTTGCCCCAAAAACATTAGGATGTCTAATTTTTCATTCCATAAAAGTTCAAAAAATATCCACTGGACTTGGCTTCCAAGATTGGAAGACGTTTCGCTACCTCTCCAGGAAGCTTTCTCAATTCAAATGACTGGATCCGCAGTGAGTTTGTGACCGACCTTCAGAAACATAGACAAGTTTCAGATATTACAGGCTAACAATGGAACCAAATGACCCATTCATCGGTTACCATTTGCATGTTTCAAAGCGATACAAGGCTTTGTCCATATAAGACCCAAACGGATCCAGACATTTGAATTGAGAAAGCTTCCTGGAGAGGTAGCGAAACGTCTTCAAATCTTGGAAACCAAGTCCAGTGGATATTTTTTGAACTTTTACGGAATGACTATGACCTGGATGACGGAGAATCTTCATCAGCACGATGTCTAATTTTTAAAAAAAAAGGTTAAATGAAACTCTTCATAAGCCTTTTTTTTAACAATTTAAAAATCTCTATGTATATCACTATTTAACATATGCCTTTCTGTCCAAAAACAGAGGGGAAGATGCCAAACCCCTAATTGTCTCACGAACACTTAATTACCATCAAAGGCATTCAGAAAACAACATTTTAATGTTTAATTTTACTCACTGCTGCTTTAAGTTTTTCAGTTGTATCTCTCTAACTATTGTCTGAAATTTAAATTAAGCCTAAAAACAAGCAAATTTTATGTAACGCATCTGGAGGTACATTAGGAGATTAAAAATGTTCTAACCTTTACCGCTTGCATGTAACCATGGTACAACTGCTGAAGCTTCTCAGGGATTAAATAAAAACAAAAATCTGAGAAAATAGTCAGGAACCAGACAATATCAAACATGTCATCAATATTGGAGATTTTAGAATTGATTGCTACTGTGGATAAGTTTTAGTTTTTAGTTTGTTTGGTTACTCTCCACTTCCACTCACAACATGCAGGACAGCGGCTGTGCATTCAAACTGTTTTACATGCACACATTAAATCCTTTAAAGGTCCCATATTATGCAAAATTCACTTTACAAACATTTTGTAATTGTCATATATGTCCTGAAGCCTGTGTATGATGTTGACAAATGAAATAAAATCCTTTCACATCAGTTAATGTGTGCTCAAAATGCTCTGTTTGAAATAATTCCTTTTATGATATCATAAGGGGAACGGAGCTTTCCATAGCAGTCTGTAGAAGCCCATTGGTCAAGCTACAGCATTCATCTAAAGCAGGGGTCACCAACGCGGTGCCCGCGGGCACCAAGGGGCCCTCAAGGACCAGACGAAAATTGATGGCCCCTGGTGCCACACTCTAATCAGCTAATTAACTCAAACCACCTGCAAAAGCCTTTAAATGGTCTTTCAGTCTAGTTCTATAGGCTACACAATCATGGGGAAGACTGCTGACTTGACAGTTGTCCAAAAGACGACCATCGACACCTTGCACAAGGAGGGCAAGACACAAAAGGTCATCGCTAAAGAGGCTGGCTGTTCACAGAGCTCAGTGTCCAAGCACATTAATAGAGAGGCGAAGGGAAGGAAAAGATGTGGTCGAAAAAAGTGTACAAGCAAGAGAGATAACCGCACCCTGGAGAGGATTGTGAAACAAAACCCATTCAAAAATGTGGGGGAGATTCACAAAGAGTGGACTGCAGCTGGAGTGAGTGCTTCAAGAACCACCACACACAGACGTATGAAAGACATGGGTTTCTGCTGTCGCATTCCTTGTGTCAAGCCACTCTTGAACCACAGACAGCGTCAGAAGCGTCTTGCCTGGGCTAAAGAGAAACAGGACTGGACTGCTGGTGAGTGGTCCAAAGTCATGTTCTCTGATGAAAGTAAATTTTGCATTTCCTTTGGAAATCAAGGTCCCAGAGTCTGGAGGAAAAGAAGAGAGGCACTTCATCCACGTTGCTTGAAGTCCAGTGTAAAGTTTCCACAGTCAGTGATGGTTTGGGGTGCCATGTCATCTGCTGGTGTTGGTCCATTGTGTTTTCTGAGGTCCAGGGTCAACGCAGCCACATACCAGGAAGTTTTAGAGCACTTCATGCTTCCTGCAGCTGACCAACTTTTTGGAGATGCAGATTTCATTTTCCAACAGGACTTGGCACCTGCACACAGTGCCAAAGCTACCAGTACCTGGTTGAAGGACCATGGTATCCCTGTTCTTAATTGGCCAGCAAACTCTCCTGACCTTAACCCCATAGAAAATCTATGGGGTATTGTGAAGAAGAAGATGCAATACACCAGACCCAACAATTCAGAAGAGCTAAAAGCCACTATTAGAGCAACCTGGGCTATCATAACACCTGAGCAGTGCCACAGACTGATCGACTCCATGCCACGCCGCATTGCTGCAGTAATACAGGCCAAAGGAGGCCCAACTAAATACTGAGTGCTGTACATGCTCATACTTTTCATGTTCATACTTTTCAGTTGGCCAACATTTCTATAAATCCTTTGTTTTTATTGGTCTTCAGTAATATTCTAATTTTCTGATATGATGAATTTGAGATTTTCATTTGTTGTCATTTGTAATCATCAAAATTAAACAAAATAAACATCTGAAATATATGAGTTTGTATGTAATGTATGAATATAATATACAAGTTTCACTTTTTAAATGGAATTACTGAAATCAATCTACTTTTTCATGATATTCTAATTTTATGACCAGCACCTGTACATGTTGTATGATCTATGACTTTGCACCTTGACCATTATATTTTATAGCACGAGCATCTCTGTGTCAACAGAGCAACACAAAGTTCTGCATATTTGTGATGTACAAGGAAAAAGAAATATACTGACATAGTTAATATAGCTAGTATAGTTTTTAGGTTTGTTTCCAAATAAAACATAAAACTGTGGAATGCACCTTTTACTCAGACACCATTCTTCATACTGCTAATTAAAATTTAGTGCATCACTGAAACAAAAAAAGGGAAATTTTATACCGTATTTCAGCAACAAAATCCTTAAATTCATATTTGTTTAAACCGTCCATCTGAGTGTAATTTAATCTCAGTATAAATCTGGCTGTTCTTTCAAGGCCTCAGAGGTTTGTTAGCAGGCATCAGTGAACAAACAGCTTCACAAAGACCAAGAAAGACAACTTTGGGAGGTCAGAGAGAAGATTACAGAGATGCTTGAAGCAGGGCTTGGTGAAGGTATAATGGGCAATGGACGGATCACACTCCATCATACACTTTCAAAAGAGTATGACGCAACATACCAATCAACATACTTAATAGGTCAGACAAGGAGATGGTTTATTAGCTGCAGCAGAATTGCTGATGAGAAGGCTATAAGCTGCACACTTCACAAATCTGACAATTACTGACCATTACCAAAAGGTAACAAAAAGCAAGGTATTAGAAATATATATATATATATATATATATATATATATATATATATATATATATATATATATATATATATATATATATATATATATATATATATATATATATATTTATCAAATATATATCAAACAGAAGCTATTTAGGGAAAACAAAGAAAGACAAAAATAAAATATAGGCCTGATCGGTTTCCATGTATTAAAACAATAGCAAACTTTTTTTTTTTTTCATTTATGCCTTTATAAATAAGCAGATCATATTGTAATGATCAAACCATGCAAAGTTATGGGTGATGATATGTAAATATGAAAAAAATACCACCCCAAAAAAACTATTTATCAGATCTGAAAGTGATTATGGGCATAGCTTTTGCTTCTATTTTTAGCATGTTTTAAAGGGACCACTCTCTCTGTCTGCAGTCAGACACCTCCCTTAGGAACTATTTTACCCCCAGCAATGATCACAGACAAAGATCAGTGCTGATAATGCAGTAACAGAATGAATACACATTCATGTAATTTAGCACTCTTTATTGGGCCCCATGTGTAGAAATACTAAACTAAAAACAACCGTACAGAACACGGACCATTTTCTGTACAAAGTACCACAGGTACAGTACTTTGTAATTTAATTTATAAATGTTTATAGACCAGAAATACTTTGGCGAATCATGTGCTGTGCATGTGTGAATCTTGTATGCTTGTGTAAATCATGCTGTGTGTGTGGAGCTTGTGGTGTGTATGTGTGAGTTTTTTTCTGCTTGTGTAAATCGTGCTCTGTGTGTGTGGATTTTTTTTCCGTTTGCATGAATTGCACTGTGTGTGTGTGGATTTTCTTTCTACTCGCATTAATTGTGCTGTGTTTCTGTGGATCTTGACTTGTGCATGTATGAATCACATATGTTTGTTTGTGAAAATTGAGACCGATGCTCCATAGATTTACAGTGCACAAAACAATAAAACAGAACTGCAAAAGGATGGACAATTACAAATAAAAAAGCAGAGGAAAAATGTTTTTTACAAGTGTCTTTTACAATCTTAAATACTCCTCAGCACAGTGGCAGCTGTGTCTAGTTATCTCACGGCAACAATAGGTTCCACTGAGAGGATGTCCGTCCTCCCAGTGATGGGTTGCCTGGCTGTGAATAGCACATGTGCATCTTTCAGGTTGTGGCTCTGACTAGAGGAAGCCTGACTCTGCTGCAATGACCCCTGGCCTGGGTGGGACAAAGCATTGCTCTGCCTTGAGGACTCATGGTTGTCGGGCCACGCAGCTCTGTGACATGGAGCACAGGCGATCGCAGGGCCTCGCTCTGGCTCTAACCCAACTGCGGCTCTCCGTTTGAGTCGGCACCTGTCAAGGAGCAGCCGCAGCTCCTGACGGAAGGTGGGGTTCAGGCAGCAGTAGATGAAGGGGTTATAGCAGGTGGAGCTCATTGCAAGCCAGTGAAAGCAGAAGTAGAGAGCGTTGGAGGAGTGGATGGCTTGGCTGGACAGCAGCACCACATAGCAGTTGAGTGGAAACCAGCATATAGCAAATACACCAACCACCAGAAGCAGCATGGCTAATGTTCTCCGGCGCTTCCTTCTCTGGGTGGCGTGCTGAGCTGTTGTTGTGTCGCCGATGGCGTTGTGGCGCCACAGCCGGCGAGCTACTGTGGTGTAGGAGGCCGTGATGATAAGGAGTGGCAGCATGTAAAGCAGGATGAAGGTCAGTAGATCAATGTACTGCCAGTAGACATCTGATGGCTCAGGGAAATCTGGGACACACAGGCTGCGCTCCATTTCCTGGCTGTTTGGGGACAGAAGGAGAGTTGGTCAGGACACAGGACTTTAACCCAGCTCTCTGTTGTGTACCTTGCCACACAGATGCATATTTAAAACCTCTAGGGAAATATAGTCATAGATGTTGTACAAGGACTGAATTTACAATTCTGCCATTTGCAATCTTTTTGGTCAGTAAAATGCCCTAAAATTGTGTAATCCACTCAAATCTAACAGCCTGTCTCTATCCGATGCAACTGCTAAGTCTCAACCCCAAGGAGCATCAGTGGAATCGCTAGAAGAAGGCTTGGGTTTTCTAACAATCGGATAGATCTTTAGAGATCCTATATGCGAAAGGCATATAGGCCACATAATGTAGGAATTTAATTCAACCCTACAGAAGACTGAACACTGAGTATTTGATAAGAGTCTACAAAAATTATAAACCTAGGTGATCATCATCCTAATCTTTTAAATAGATTGATTATTAGCAGGATTAGTGATTTACAATACACTGTAGGCCATTATATGAGATGTGTGTAAAATTTAGTAAAAACTTGTCTGTAGTAGTATTTTAAGATTTTTTTTTAAATGGTAGATTAAACAAATACCTAACTATTGATATCAGGAATATCTATAAATCTGTATAAAAACCCTTTCATTTTTTATCAGAATGCTCTTTAAATCTCCTTTTAGGGAAAGCTAACAACCCATTTAATATCACCACTGCTTTTATAAGATGACCTCTTCAGTCTTTTACATACAGCAATTACTAACTAACTGAAGGTTACATGAAAAAATGAGAATAAAGTTTACTTATATCGAATCAAAGCAAGCAACTGGGTAATCTTATACCCATTCTATCAAAAGGTCATAATGTGAATTGTATGAGAAAAAGGTCAGATTTATTTTTGGGGTTTTTTAAAAGATTTAACATGGATATCAGTTGGTGTAGAGCTAGAATAAATGTGGTGCTTTGACACTAGATCTTACCGTGGTAACAAACTGGACAAAATTAATCCGGATAGATATAAGCTTTGTTTAAAGCAGCATTGTGCAATGATTCAGTATTTTTTAATACAAAGAACAAAAAAATACAGATGTGAAGGGGGGTTACACTGACATTGCTCAACAGCCCACCTAAAGATGTTGTTCATTGCCGCTTTAAAGTCACACATGACCCTTGAGATAGACATGCTCTTTAATGACTAAAACTACCTATAAAGCTTTAATACATTTAAAAAAATTTACTGTTGTATTCCTTGCCTCCACTTCTGTGTTGTTCATAGTAAATGAAAATGTCAGATCTAGTCACTTATATGAGCTTTGATTAATTTACCAGTAGTCATCATGCAATCTGTGAAGTATAGGTTTAATTCCAGCTTCTGCCAACCATTTGTTGATGTGCCCCTGGGCAAGGCACATAATCATTGCCATTGATCTGTGTACAGGTATACTGATGTGTTTGTGAGCTTGAATGGGTGAATGAGAAGCTTTGAATGGTCAGTAAAACAACAAAATCACTCTTAGTCCATTTAACATTATAACTTAATGTATCTTATTTATATATTTGTGTGTCTGGGTTAAAATGTGGAAGATTGGTAGTGAGCTATTGCATAAGAACAAACTCTTTTGGTTTATTGCATAATGCAAAGCCTGGGATTACTCCAAAATAGTCAAGTAATGATCAGTTGGGCTATTTAAAAATTAATGGCTAACAGCCTTTAAAAATTAGAATGAACCATGTGGATTATTAACTATTAACTTAATTAACAGTAAATTTAGATATTTAAACCAGTTGTGGACCTTGGATTCAATTAACCATTGGTACATTTTTATAATTTATTTGTTAATAAAATTTGTAGTTATCAAACCTTAACCAAAACCACAGGAAATGTCTGTATACAATCAAGCAAGTACAGTAATCAAGTAAATGTACTTTGTTACTAGTGTTGCACCGATACCGATACCAGTATCGGGCGGGGCCCCGATCCAGCACTAAAATGGTGGTATTGGTATTGGCGAGTACCAGCAAATACGGCACCATTACCTTTTTGAGAGCCAAAAGTTTATTCAACTATTGTCAACCATTCCGGGTAGGCAATAAGAAGTTCTACTGGATTCACTTTGTATTAGTCTTTCTCCTGCTTCACAAAGGTAGGCAGCAGCTTGACAAAGTCATGATGGCAATTATTTTATCACAGGACTTTCCAGTTTATCCAATAACAGAGACGGTTTCGATCGACAGCTGACTTGGGAGACAAATCTGGAAACTCTGTAGAATGCGTTGGGCAGGCATTCCATGTGTTCCCAACAAATGGAATGCTGCAAGGCATACTGGGAGCTGTAGTTACACTGCGTTTATAGTTTTGTATTGCCTAGATGGGATCTGGAGACCCTATAATTAATCTCAGTAGTAAAATCGTTCAAGATTTTGTGCAAAAGTAAATTTGTATTGCGGGCCAAGAACTGACTGGAACTGGAATATTGATCCCAGTGGCTCAGTTTGGATGATTTGATTCACTGAATGAAAATCTTATGGTGCTAGCAGGGAAATCGTAGTGAGTCTAAGGGTCATCCACAGGGAAGAAGTCCACAGGGCAGAGGCTCGCAGAAGGGCTAGACGAGAGGTGAGAGAATCCAGGTGAGAGAATCAGTAACAGTGACTAGGCAGAGGTCTCCAGAGAGACATATGCATGAGGCAGATCCAAAGTCCAGGCTAGGGTCATACAGGATTGAGAGAAAAAACTTGTCAAGGGCAAAGGCAAAAGCATGTGGTTATAAATCAAGACAAGGCTGATGTCCTGAGATCAGAAGTCGACAGGAGTATCATACAGGGGCAAAGCAGACAGGAAAAAACAGGAATAAGACGGTTGAGATCAGAAGGTCAAAACAAGGATTGCTGCCTAGTCTACCCTCATGAATAGCTTGCAGGAATCTGGCGGTTACCTAATTTTAGAGCTAAGAATATATAGTGCTCCTTCAAGGTGCAGCAATTCCTGGTAATTGGTGTAACTGCCCACACCTGATTGCCAGTGCAGCAGAGTGAGAAGGGTCAGAAGTCACAGGACTGCACACTTATTTATTTTATTTTTCCGCTGTTTAGGTATGTATACTTTTCCAATGTTATTTTTTTTTTGTAATTTTTACACCTCCTTCATCACCTGCTTCATTTACACAGCAAATGCCCTTTTTAAACCTCTGCCTTTTGAAATTCATGTCAGTTTTTTGACCTAATCTAGTTAAAGGGAAAAAACAAGCCAATCTTTAAATGCAAAAGCAAATTGCTTGTTTACTTTGAAGCTGTCAAATCAAGTGTGACACAAGTGTGAGACAGTCTCTCAGGGTTGAAACAGTAATCACATGTTTGTTTCTGATCTTATTAAGTATGACCATCCATGTCAGTGCCCAGAAATGTACCTGTAGGTGAAAGTCAGAAGTTTTTGGTAGATTGCATGTGGAAGGGAAAAGCAGCTGGCCATTATCCAGATAACAGCCACCCATACACCACCCTGCGCTGCAGTCATCCGTGGTCTGAGTGGATGCAATATCACCTGAGGAAACAGAGCAAACATCACTGATCAACTGCTCCACAGACACATGGCAAATCAATAGCAAACTAATTTTCATTGGGAATTCAATCAATTTGATTGAATTTTCAAAAGAGGGGAAAATAACAAGTATTTTGTGTTTTTCTTTTTCTTTGGTGTATTAGAAAATAACCTTTAAAAAAAGTTATGCAAATGTCAGTTTGTATAAGGTGAGTTAATTGACCAGAGGCTTTAAGGTAGAGACACAATGTACCATTGGCTTTTGTTGTCAGACAGCTATGAAATAAGAAATAAAGAAGTGGTGAATAAAAAACTAAATATACTCCAGCTACAAGGCCTTTGGAGAAGCCACAACAATAAGATTGATTTATTTTTTTTCTGATAATAGGTCAATCTTATTCTTCAGTGAGCTTTAAACACAACAACTGGTTGTGCAAGATTGGATAGAATGTTATTCTTTTCTAATCTACACAACGCCTTAATTTGGTTTTAAAGAGGATCCGAAGGAAAAGATGAGGATGGGAACAGGATGATCAATCATGGCTTCTCATCAAAAAGGAAAAGACAATGGACAGCAACAGGGTAGTTACAAAAGAACCCAGAGAAAAAGTAGGCGGCAGATTGATAACAGCAGAGGATGTGACCATAAGCTGGAGGATCTAGGACGATTTTGCAAGGGAGGTTGTTTACTACATGAAAATGTGCAGCGAGCAGAAACAGTGGAGAAAGTATAGAGATAACGATGGAGTAAAATTACACTATATACTAGACAGAAAATCTCATAAACTCATAATAAAAAGCAGGAAATTAAAAACCACCAGATTCAGAGTCATAATTTGTGCAAAAAATAACATCAATACCAACACATGCTAATATTAGGTAAATGTTCCTTTAACAGATTGTAAGAATAATAAGCATTCTGCATAATTCTGGGCAGTTATTTGACTTTGTACAACTTATTAGAATTTAAAGTTTGTTTAAATTATTAAATTTAAACAAAAAAAATATATCACAAATTTACAGGAAATGTAAACGTTTTTAGCCAATTCTATTAAAATATTTATACAAGATTATACTATAATTATCCCTTCTTGAAAAAAAGAACAATCTGAATATGTTTTTTAACAGCTAACTTAATGGGTGAATTAAACCTTTCATGGGGAACAATATCACTTATTAACACCTCTCTCTCCTGTAGAGTTTCTTTTGTTGTGTATTTATTTAAGGTTTAATATCATCAGTGTGCAGTCTCTACTATCTCTTATCTAGATAGTTTAGGGTTAAAAAATGAAAGAGGGCTTGTTTTCTAAGTAGGACCAGGACTCAAAGAAACGGGCAAACACTGAACAGCCTTCGAGCTGCGGAGTAACCTGCCTGGGCACACAGCACCAGAGATCATTCTAGCTAAAATAATAACTTAGCTACCAAAGACTGGACAAAACATTTGCCCAAAATTATTTCTATATCCATTATGTTTTTTTGTATATATTAAACATAGTTCGACAAACGTTTACGCATTTTTAAAAACTCAGAAATTTTGCCAATTTCCAAGTTCTGTCTTTTCAAAAAGATTTTGAACAAAAACAGCCCTAAAGCTTCCTTCCCCTGTCCGTCGTGAAGAAAAAGGTGTAAGAATGACATCAATACGACTTTTTATGCCAAAGTTATAGGCATTTGTTTGGCATAACATCGTACAGTAGATTAAGCCAGGATTATTAAGAGGAGATAGTGGCTGAACAACTATTTTAAAATACACACCTCTCCCAAACCATTTAATGAACAAAAATAAAACCTCGTATGAAACATTCTTCAGACCCTTTTAGCACTCATATTGAAAGACATTTTTTCAATGTCATTTATGGTTTAGCTGTTTAGCTGGGTTGTTTGGGCCCATGATACTAAGATTAGGATGTTTTTTGGCATTAGGACCTGCCTATACTCAAATGCGATGTAGTAACTAGAGAAAGACTATTCCATAAAGTTTATATTTTAATCTGCTAAAATATAATCGGAGTCTTATTTCTAAATTCCCATATAAATTTCCCATCCTACTTTTTACTTAATGAATCAATTAATTATTTTCTATAGTGTTATAATCGTTCTCAGTGATTCCTTTAGCGACAAAATCCAATATTAACCTTTATTTTTCTGCCAAATTTTTGATATTTTAATTCTTCCATGGAGTGTGTGATTCAACCTCACAGTGAGTTTATATATATATATATATATATATATATATATATATATATATATATATATATATATATATATATATATATGTATATATATATATATATATAAACATGAATTCAGCTCTGCAAGCAATTCTTACATTGACCATCACAGACATCAATGAGCTCCAATAAGCTAATATACTGCACAGCAGCAGTGATCCTAGAGATGCTTGGCTGTAAGAACAACCATGTGATGAAATATGAAATAATATGAAAAAGCAAGTTCCCAAGAGGCAGGGGAACAATAGTAGAACAACCCCACCAAGGCTGGAAACTGAAAAGTACTGGAAAGGCATATGGGAGAAGGAGGCAGCAAACAACAGGGAGGCCCATTGGCTGGTAGCACTGAGAGAGGACCACAGCAACCTCCCTGAACAGAATCCGGTCAACATCACAGTGGCAGACAACCAAGAAAGAGTCTCAGGCATGAAAAACTGGACTATACCAGGCTCCAACATGATACACACTTACTGGCTTTAGAAACTCACGGCTCTCCACGAACGCTTGGCAGCACAAATGAACCAGCTGAGAGATGGGAACCACTCTGAATGGTTAACCAAAGGGTGCACAACTCTGATCCTGAAGGACCCCTCAAAGGGTACAATCCCATCCAAATATCAACCCATAACCTGCCTCTCCACAATGTGAAAGCTCATGTCCGGGATCATAGCCACTAAGATAAGCGGGCTCATGGATCAATACATGAGCCAAACACCAACTCCTGGTAGATAGAACAGTCACTCAAGATTGCAGAACCCAAAACACTAACCTAAGCACTGCTTGGATTGATTACAAGAAAGCCTATGTCTCAATGCCACATACTTGGATCATTTAATGCTTGGAGCTATACAATATCAACAGGACTCTAAGAGTCTTCATTGCTAACTCATTGAGGTTGTGAAATGCCATCCTTGAGGCCAATGGCTAGATACTTCCACAAGTCTCCATTAAATGTGGCATATACCAAAGAGATGTGCTGTCCCCACTGCTTTTCTGTTTAGGTCTGAACCCCCTTGGCCAAATAATCAACAACACTGGCTACAGGTATCGAATCAGTCACCTCCTCTACATGGATGACATCAAGTTATACGCTAAGAATGAGCGAGACATTGACTCACTTATCCTTACCACCCGAATCTTCAGCACAGACATCGATATGTCATTCGGACTAGAGAAGTGTGGTCAGATGGTGACTAAGAAAGGGAAGGTAGTCCACACAGAGGGGGTCTCACTCCCAGAAGGAACACTAGCAGACATTGAGGACAGCTACACGTACCATGGAATCCCACAAGCGAATGGCAACCTTGAAAAGGTGACAAGGAAAGCAGCTATGGCCAAATACCTCCAAAGAGTAAGGCAGGTCCTAAGGAGCCAGCTCAATAGCAAGAGTAAATCTCAGGGAATAAATATCTATGCTCTGCCAGTAATCAGATACCCTACAGGAATAATAAGCTGAACAAAGGAGGAGGTACAGGTCACAGATGTTAAGACACGAAAGCTCCTAACCATGCACAGAGGGTACCACCCCAAATCCAGCACCCTGAGACTGTACGCCATAAGGAAGGAGGCCGAGGACTAATGAGTGTAAGAGCCACTAGGCAGGATGAAACATCCTCAGTGAATGTCTCAGACAATGGGGAACAGAAGATGAGGTGCCAGAGACTCCATCATGTGAGCATAAGCCTCTACATGGGATGTACCACCGAAACATAATTGAAGTGGCAGATATCAGGAAATCCTAAAAATGGCTAGACAAAGCCGGACTGAAGGACAGCACAGAGGCACTCATCATGGCTGCACATGAGCAGGCCCTAAGCACAAGAGCAATGGAGGCCCAGATCTACCACACCAGACAAGACCCCAAGTGCAGACTGTACAAAGAGGCCCCTGAGACAATCCAGCACATAACTGCAGGGTGTAAGATGCTGGCAGGGAAAGCTTACATAGAGTGCCATAACCAAGTGGCTGGAATACTATACAGGGACATCTGTCCAGAGTATGGGCTGGAAACCCTAATGTCATAGTGGGAAACACCTCAAAAGGTGGTAGAGAATGACCGAGCTGAGATCCTGTTAGACGTCAATATACAGAAGGACTAATGGTAATAGCAGTTATAGGAACAGCGAAGATACTGCACAGAACCCTCAAGCTAACTATCTATATATATGTATAGCTTTTAGACTGATAAAAATATTTTATTTAATGACACTGATGAGTATGATACAAAAAAAATAGGTCCAAGTCCGATTTATCAATAAAGCACACAAGCTTACTAAAGTATTGAACAAGAGTAAGATAAACAAGGGATATAAACCAAGATCAGTTGTATTAGTCTTTAAATGAGGAAAGACATAACAAACTTTCATCAAGCAAAGTAAACACAGAGGTTTCTCATGGGGGTTGATTTTATATCCTGAGGGTACATTGGTGAGACGTTGTGAGAATGTCTATTAAGACAGTGGTGCATGTGTAAACATGATAACCTACAACATTCTAACAATGAAACCCATTCATATTAAACTGTTATTATTTAAATATTCAGTCCTTTAATAATTAATTATCATTGATATCCAATATTTTTATTCCCATATCTTTACTTCATGCTGCTTTCCTTTTGCTGTTCAAGCCTCCATGTGATTTCAAATCTTATGAAAGGTGTTTAGTATTCAATAACTGTTATGACAAACGGTCTCAAGCAACCTTACAAGCTAAGTAGACATCATCTCGAAGTGACAGGATACAATAAAACCACAATAAAAAGGCTGGTCA